AAGTGTGAGTTACGCGATGCAGAATCTGTTAGTTGATTTAGTTGTGATTAAATCTCTAAATGACCAAGATGAGATTATTAAGTCAACTTGCCCAATTTTTGTGATTGATTAATTTACCTAAACAATATGATCAATTAAATATCCACAATCACAAAGATAAATACTGAAAAGTAAATTAAACAAGTAAAGTCAACGAGATGACACCAGGATTTTAGTAAGGAAACCAATTGGAAAACCTCGAGGATTTTTACGCTGTCCCGAGTATAAAAAGATCCACTATATATGAAGCAAAGTACACTGAAATTTGACTCAAGCTCACAACCTTTCGTTCTACCAAGACTTAATCTGTTGAATGTCTCTGACTTTGTGACTTCCTGTCCAACAGCTCTCGACTTCAAACTTATGCCTGAACCCTGTAGAAGGATTACTGGTAGATCAAACAACACTCCATAAGTGCCTTGATCCCTTCAAAGTGTGATATGGAAATTCTTCTTATTTAAATCTGAATTTGATGTAAAAGAAATGGATCTACTTTTCAGAATTTCTGAATCTTCAATTATACTCCAATTCCGATAAAATAGAGAATAACACTACTAAATCACTCATGTATATATGTGTGTGTTCTCAAAACAAAAACAGAAAAATCATATTTAATTTTCTGAAAAATATCTCTCAAAAGGCTCTTTCAAAATAATGAAATTGTGTTTCAAAAAGTCGTACCTTAATATTGAATAAAAGAGAGATTATATAGAAGTTTGGAAGACCTAAAGAAACTTGGAAACCAAGTCAAATTTGTGCATAAGTTTTTGGAAAGAAGTCTACCCACAATAGGAATCAAAACATACCAGGAGGGTAAGTTACCAAAACAAATCTGAAGAACTTGAACTGATTCAGGGTGGTTGAACCGATTTAAGTTGGTTAGTGAGTTTTTCGTAACAAAACAACTTTGACACTTGAACCAGTTCAGGGTGGTTGAATCGGTTCAAGTTGGCCAGACTTGAAAAACACCAAAAGCCTCAAAAGTTGAACCAGTTCAAGTTGGACAGAATGTAAAATATTCCTAAAAACTAGTGTTTCGAACTTCCCAAGTGTCCTCACAGACTCACATACCTTTCTAAAGCATGGTTCTCATCATCCCAGAGTGTGTTAAAGTATGAACGCTTGAACTTCTTCAAATCTGATTTGGATCTTGAATTTTGAAATTCTAAACTAAAATCTTATAACTCGATCGAACTTGTTTTGACAATGAAATTAGCCAATTATAAAATATATATCTCACAAGCTCATGTTGATAAAGTATCCAATTCACCCACAAGTAGTAGATGACCCAAAAGGTAATGTTTTTTTTTTTTTTTCTTTTTCTCCACATACCCTTAATTTATTGCTATCAATCTTGACAAAATAAGGAATACTAAATCTATAGGATTGAAGAGAAAAATAAAGAAAGATCAAAACACAATATAGCGTGGTTCAGCCACTAGGGCTTCATTATAATATCTCTTCATTTCGATTATGATGATTCATATGATCGATTATAAAGACAATACTTCAAAGAAAGTCAAACACAAATATGGTAACAATCAATTAGTTCAATTAGAAAAGACTTGTTACTCAAGTATAGTAACTTTAACAACAATTCACTTAAAAAGATAAAGAAAATGGTAGTAGACACGTACACACAGATCCAGATCCCCTCCTGTAATGAAAATTACAAGACCTATCGCATTAAAATGTTGTCGTTTAGAGGCATAAGTCACTTAAAACTAATTAAGTCGGTATTTGGGAATTCCTTTAAATAGCCTGCTTTGTTTTTGGAATATTAATCAGCCCTCAAAATAAATCAATGCGAAGAAAACTAATTGAAAAAAATTAAAGTATTTTTAACATAGAAAAAAATGTGTGATTTTATGTGTGTGTGTGTGTGTGTTTGTGTGTGTTTTGATTCATGAGTATATTTGCGCCGATATATTGGTTCTTGTTCAAATTAGATTTATACATATGGGTTTAGGTGCACAGCTTTACCAAGGTATATGCGTCTATATATATAATGGTTGGTGGAAAGGGTGGTGGCAGTAGGTAGGAGGTTGATAGAGGAGGGGTGATGGACATCGTTAGAGGGTGTAAGTGAAAAGGGTAGAGAAAATAATGATAGAAATATAGAACGAGAGAGAGGAGAAACATTGTAATTTTAAGGCCGGCAAGGAACAATATATAATAATGACAAGGTTTATTTTATTTTTTTTTTTTTTAAGATTAATTATAATAAAAGTGAGTTGTTGTGCCTTAAAACACTATAATTTTAAAACACAAAACAAGATCAAAAGACCTTTAGGAGGGAATCCAAGTCATGTCAACATAGACATAGGGTGTGGTGCGATAACCCAGTGATAGGGTGTTGGTGCTTGTGGTCAAATCGTCCAGATTCAAGTCCCAGACAGGGTGTTAGTGCTTGTGACCAAATCACCCAAATTCAAATCTCAGACCTATATATGTCGGTTGCTTTAACTTTAAAAAATAAATAAATAAACAAAAACAAAACAAAGACATGGAGAGAATTCAAGTAGTGCTTGTAGGAGCTCATGTTGGTAAAGTGTCCAATTTACTTGAGACATATTCACCAACAAGCATTAGATGACACAGAAGGTGATGCTTTTTCCCACATACCCTTTATTGCTACCAATCCTGACAAAATAAGGAATGATCAAATCACTATGATTGTTTCTTTGACTAAACCAATGATAAAAGAAAATAAGAAAAATAATTACGCGTGCGCGCACACATGCAAGAGGAGAATAGTAATGACCAAGAATTGATGATATAATATCATTATTATTATTAGAATAATATCATACACCTAGGAGAATAGTCATGACCAAGAATTGATGATATAATATCATTATTATTATTAGAATAATATTATATACCTACCTTCCTTGAAGGATCGAGGAACAAATGTAAAGTTTGTATGGCCAGTGCTCAAATGTAAAATTAGAGGGGTATAATGGAAAAAATATATATTTTAAAGTTTATCCTAATATATTCAACTTAAAAACCCTAGTAACATGAGACCAATCAAACTATATTTTATTTGCAAAGATGTTATTGTCGCATCATTTTGATTGACAATTCTCATTTATTGCGTATGCAATATTATCAATATTAGGAAGTAGTTGGTCTTATTAGGGGTGTTCCTGTAAGTATCAAACTTTGCACAAAGAGCTGCCAAACATGGTTTTTGTTACAAAATTGTGTGGAACCGGAATGAATCCAACCAATCTAAATTAACCGAAGAAAAGAAAATGAATCAATCTTTTATGGTTTGGTTCAATTCGGTTTCACAATTCCAACCATTTAATTTTGGTTTTAATTTTTTAAGAACCACTAAATTCAGTTCAGTTTTGATTTAGTTTGAAACCAAACCCAACCCAAACGACCTGTGCGCACTCCTAGATTTTAGTGAGTAATCTGCTCTCCTTGAGCTTGGTTAATTAGCCTGTTGCCTCTTGCCAGGGCTGTTATTATGTTGATAGTGTCTGTTGCCCTAATATTGTTGGTGGTGCCCGCCGTTCCTCTTGATTGACAATCAGGGACGACTGGACCCTTAGGCGACTTAGAGGCTCCAGTCAATACGAAGGCCTCAAAATTTTTATTTCTTCATATTATATCCTTTCTAAAATTTTTATTTCCTTCCTATTATGACTCTATCCAATATAAAAAGGCCACAAAATTTGTATTTCCTTATATTATAACTTTCAATTTTTTTTATAATCTTCCTAAAAATGTTGTTTTCTTCTTATTATTAAACCCTGCCCTATAGAAAGACCCCCAATTTTTATTTTTTTTATATCCTTATATTATAACTTCCTTAAAAAATTTATTTGTATCGATTGTTAGACCCTAACCAATAAAGATTTAATAGGAGCCAAAAGATTTCTATCTTTATTTTACTTTCTTTTTTTTTTTTTTTTTTTTGGCTCTCTCTCTCAGCTCCTCATTCACGTGTGTGTTTTTTTTTTCTCCAGAATTTGTAAAACTTTCCATATTCTTATTTTAACTTTTATCCTCTTTGTTTTTGTTTTTTTTTTTTCTTCTTATTTCTGACATATTTTTCTTCATTTTTCATTAAGTATAAATTGTATAGGTCTAGGATCAATTATATGTGACAAGAAAGATTAATTGGATTAACTATATATATATTAGATATTAACAAGCTCCTTTTATATTTTTCGCCAAAGGCCTCAAATTATATTGAGGTTCCTCTTGATTGATGGTAATGGTTTTTTTTACCGGGTTGCCCTCACTTTTTCTCAAACATGTCACATAATCATTTGTGTAATTATCCACTATATATGTTTGGTTTCATACACAATATGAACCTAACAAATATAATGGTATGGTGTTTTTGTAACGGTCAGATCAATTTGAACTTGAAAAGAAAAAAATATTAGAAAGGATTCATATCCAAATAAAGTAATTTCCTCTCTATCTCCCAAGTAAGGTTATGTGTATGGTTTAATTCATTAATGTGAGAATTGCACCTAAAATGGTAAAATCTACACTTTGAACTACAATGTCAAAAGCCTTACACCAACTGGCCTACAACCATGATGTCATAGTCTCAATTTTTCTGGTTAATGCTTCATGCAATCACTATCTCAACCTAACAATTTGAGCCTAGCACTTCCATTAATTGGCGAGGAGCCCACTTCAAAAAAAGTACGGATGAGAATCATCTACAATAATATATCACAAAACCAGAAAACCCTAATGGCACATATAGTTGGGTGGAATAATCGCTGGACATCATTCCTTCATCCTTATTCTATACTTTGGTGACCAGAACACCAGAAAAGTTGCATAAGCACACTCACCTTTCAAACACCTCCACCAAAACTTTTATCACCTTTATAGGATTCCACGGTATTGGAACCATATACCCCCACCAACTTATAAATCTATAAAATATATATACATATACATATATACGTACAATAAGTACATGTTTGGTCATTTACCTAAAAAAAAGGTTACTCGCTTTGTCTCTTGCATCCATATAAATAGCTCTGCCCTTTGCATCCATCAACACACGACACCTTCTGAAATACTACTGTCCAAAACCCTAGTCCAAGAAAGATATATAGACCCTTTCTTCTTTATAGGAATTGATATATATAGACAAAAATATCATTAAGAATGATAGAGTTGGGAGATGTTTACAAGGTGGTGGTGGCCATGATACCACTCTATGTAGCTCTATTTTTAGGTTATGGTTCAGTGAAATGGTGGCATGTATTCACACCGGAACAGTGCGATGCGATAAATCGCTTAGTTTGCTATTTCACCCTCCCTCTCCTCACCTTCGAGTTCACATCTCATGTCAATCCATTTGCAATGAATTATCCATTCCTCGGTGCCGATGTTATCTCGAAATTCATTATTATGATAGTGATTGCTTTTTGGGCTAAGTACAGTACCAAAGCAAGCAATTCCTGGTCCATAACAAGCTATACTCTCTCTACTTTTAGTAATACTTTGATTTTAGGTGTGCCTCTCTTGAAGGCCATGTATGGTCAGATGGGTGAAGACATCATTGTCCAATCCTCGGTCATGCAGTCTCTCATCTGGCAGATGATCCTATTGTTTGCGTTGGAGTTCAGACGGAGCGGGACGGACTTTGCTTCCAAGGATTCAAGTGAACCAGAGAAAGATTTGGAAGGTGACCAACACGTTGAGGAGACTACCGGGCCATCTTTCTGGCAAATGATGAAGGTGGTTTCGCAGAAACTGGCTAAGAACCCTAATATATATGCTTGTGTTCTTGGTGTTGCTTGGTCTTTTCCAGCAAACAGGTATGTCTACGTAAAAAAAAAATGCATGCATGCTTTTCATTTGAGGGATAAAATAAATATTATCATGTGTTTACCTAATCCTATCACGTGATATCCTCTTCTTACCACCGCTGATGTGATATATAATTTTATACAACATAATATTACACGTGTACTCCATTAAATTCATTTTTAACATCAATATTACATGTGTACTACACTAAACTCATTTTTAATGCTTTGTTACAATTACAAAATGACACGTCAATGTTGATAAGAGGGAGGATATTGCTTGATTCACGTCACGTTGGAGGCAAGTATTATCTGAAGGATTTCTAATTAGGGTTTTTATCCTATGAATTCTTTTAGGTGGGATTTGAAGATACCAAGCATCATTGAAGGATCAATAATGATCATGGCAAGAGCTGGAACAGGCACTGCCATGTTTAGTATGGGTGAGCTACACTATCATCAATATATGTATAAATATTTATATATATATACATATCACTACATAAAAGATTATTAATGCTATCCAAATCGACCATTAACCCATTTGATACATCCCTTGTGTTCCATATGCATCATCCATTGGCCATTACATTTTTTTTTTTTTTTTTGGATTGGTCACTTGGTTTAATAATTATTTTTACACAAAAATATTACTAAAAATAATATCAAAGACTTATATAACTCCAGTTTTTCCTTCTAACACGGGGAATTAATGCATAAATATGTAAAATTAAATAGTAATATTCATATTTGAGAATTTGTCTTTATATGTGCAGGATTGTTCATGGCATTACAGAAGAAAGTGATTGCTTGTGGCCCTCGTCTAACGGCGTTTGGGATGGTTTTGAGGTTCATTGTTGGACCTGCAACTACGGCAATAGGTGCTTTTGCTGTAGGTTTGCGTGGCGATCTCTTACGGGTCGTGATCATTCAGGTGACAAATGAATTCCTTAATTTGAGCTTTTGAAGTTTAAATTTACCATTAATTAATAAGGAATTGAAGTCTTTTATGTTGAAAATATTGAATTCGTGAGCATGTCACGCATGCATATTATATATATATTTATATGTGTGTGCGTGCGTGTGTGTGTTAAATCTGACTACATCTACAACCTGAGTCCACTCTAGGCTAGTGGAACTTAATTTAATTAATACACAAAGACACGATACATGAGTGTGTATTGTGTATAATATATACACACGCACACAAGTATGTCTGTGATGTGATGGAGCACACATGGGTGGATGGACGGTTGTGATTGGTTGGACTCCATTAGGAGGAGAGAATTGATTTTCTCAAGTAGGACAACAAATTTGATTTTGTACATTATCTGTATAAAGTGATTGTCTGGTACTTCAAACCACTAGCCACTCATGTTGAAGATTATTTTTTGTTTTTTTTTTTTGATAACCATGTTGAAGATTATTGATGCTTCCATATGTTTTATAAAGCTTGTGATCAAAAGTAATGAAATGTTAATTTCTACTCCTATATAACTAGCTGCAATAATTTCAGCATTTCTAAAAAAGGATTTTTGTTGGACTGTTTTTTTTCTTTGTTGCAGGCAGCATTGCCCCAAGCCGTCGGCTCCTTCATATTCGCCAAAGAATATGGATTGCATACAGAAGTGATCAGCACTGCGTGAGTTAAAATTTACTTGATTTTGTTTTTTTGTTTTTATAACAGTTTTCATTCTTTCAAAGAACAAGAAAGGAAAAAAAAACCTTCAAAAAGAAAGAAAACAAGGAAAACAAAAATAGTTCCAAAATTCGTTTTTAATTTTTTTGAGTTTTTCTTTTTTAAAAAAAAAAAGTTGTACTTTGAAAACAGCGTTTAAGGAAACACTTCACCAATTTTTTTAAATAATAGAGCCAACCCTTGAATTATGATATTAACATCTTACTTAGTTTTGTTCTTAAAAACAATTAATACAAAAAAAAAAAAAAAAAAAAAAAAAAAAAAAAAAAAAAAAAATTCTAACATTTTCATCTAAAGATTCCAAGTGACTAATTGATTTTCTCTTCAATATCAGGGTAATCTTTGGGACAATCGTATCACTTCCGGTTTTAATATCTTATTTCGCAATTTTAGAGCTTTTACATTGATCCTTCCTTTGTTATGCATGCTTTGGGGCGGAAAGATTCAGACTTCCGAATAGCGGGACGAAAACCCGTTGACTTACTACTTGGCCACGCCCGATTTCGATTTCTATTCCACACTAATAAAGATTAATATGGAGAGTTTTGTTATCTGTATTTTCTTGTAGCCAAGCTAAGCTGACGTCAAGACAGTTTGAAATGTTGATAAGCTCTTACTTTATTAATCTTTTTTTATCATATGTTGAGGGACCTGTTACGTGTTTCAATAAATACTTTAATATCATGTCTTGAGATATATATGTATACACACACGGTGGTGTTACACGAAAATAAAGTTTGAATTATTAGCCAAAATCAGATGCCAAAAGTAGACTTTAAAATCATAGTTACAGAAAGCATAAGAGAATCAGTGCTTGTAAAGCTTTGAGTTGTTTCTGTTGCCCAAGCAAGGAAGGGGGAGGGGTAGACAAACTATGGAACTTTTTTGTGGCTTTGACTTGTTTCGACAAAAATTAAGCTTGATTGAACTTTAGTCAAACACTTAGTGAGTACGTTGATTTAACAAATGACCATTTCATTTCTTACTTTTAACCATGCATAAGTGAGTTAAACAATTAAGCATATGTGATTCATGACACAAGAATATTATGAAATTGTATCACAAATGTACATGAACTGATAACTTTGACAACCACAAATGCACATAAATAACTTTCCACACTAGGCTAGTTTATAAGATTCAACCAATTTCAATTTCAAATGCGGTAGCTTTAAGAGGTTTAGATGAGGTCTTTGTTTGTTTTTCCTTGTTGGCATGTATTCCAATTTTATCGTTTACAGATTTAGTCTTAGACAATCCCTTAATTAAATATTATGAAAAGATTAAAAAATAATTTTATTTTATCATGTCCAAGTCTCATATGACATAACAAATTACTTTGATATAAATTATCAAAATCTATAATATAAGCATTTTCTTTTCTATTTTCATCAAGTATTATATTAGGATCATCGTCGTTTTTTAATTATGCCATGATTAAATTCAAAGGCGGATAGAAGGGTGAGCCTAGGTGGGCTAAAGCCCACCCAAAAAAAACTAAAATAAAAAATAAAATAGAATTACTATACTAATATTAGCCCAGCCCAAAATAATAAAATATATATATATCAAATCCAAGTCAACTCAGTCACTATACTAAAATTAGCCTACCCCAACTAAAAATCCTGAATATGTCCTTGATTAGATTTGAAAACAACTATATATCCCTATCCCGAGTCACATAATTGACCAACACAATCAAGTTATACTTAACCCGTCAACTAAAAGCACATCATTAATAATGAAGGAAGAGGAATCTTTACCCACAATGCCATCTCCACTAATTTTACTTGAAGAGTATTTTTTTTTTTTTTAGTTAAAAGGTAAATTTTACTTGAAGAGTTGTTTCTAATATCCTTCATCCTTTGCTTAAAGAGGAGAGACCATGGCTTGATCTCCTTTTATGTACTTTAAGCATCTACTATCAAGAAGCTACCCGTCCTTGAGTGAAGAGAATTTTCATTATTCTTACAAAACACATCCATGTAGCTTTCTTTGTTATCCAATTCTTTTGGGTCCATTTTGGTTAGCACATTTGGAAAAGATTCCCAAATAAACAAATTGCACAAGTTGAATGATATACTTCAATTTTTTTGAACATTAATTCATATAATTTAGCATGTAAGTACATTTGTTTTCAAAATCTTTTGTCAATTCAAATATTACAATAAGCTCATAGTTTTGTACAATAATGAACCAATATGAAATGAATATGAACGGAGTGAAGAACACAATTTCATACATGGATGATCATTAAAACACCGTATGCATTATTTAAGTTCAAATTAAAGAATGGACAAAATGACTTTCTACACTAGGCTACTTTATAAGATTCAACCAATTTCAAATGTAGTAGCTTTAAGGGTTTAGGTGAGGTCTTTCTTTGTTTTTCCTAGTTGGCATGTATTCCAATTTTATCTTTTACAGATTTAGTCTTAGACAATCCCTTAATTAAATACTATGAAAAGATTAAAAAATAATTTTATTTTATCATGTCCAAGTCTCATAATAACAAATTACTTTCATATAAATCATCAAAATCTATAATATAAACATTTTCTTTTCTATTTTCATCAAGTATTATGTTAAGATCATCATTGTTTTTTAATTATGCCATGATTAGATTCAAAGGCGGATAGAAGGGTGAGCCTAGGTGGGCTTTAGCCTACCCAAAAAAAAAATAGATAGATAAAAAAATACCATACTAATATTAGCCCAGTCCATAAAAAAATAATAAAAAAAAAAATAAAAATTAAAAAAATAAAATACTATACATATATTAGCCCATCCAATCAAGCCCAAGTCAACTCAGCCGCCGTACTAAAATTAGTCCATCCCAATTAAAAATCCTAAATCCGCCCTTGATTAGATTGGAAGACAACTATATATCCCTAATCACATAATTGACCAACACAATCAAGTTATGCTTAAACCATCAACTAAAAAGCACATCATTAATAATGAAGGAAGAGGAATCTTTACCCACAATGCCATCTCCACTAATTTTACTTGAAGAGTTGTTTCTAATATCCTTCATCCTTTGCTTAAAGAGGAGAGACCATGGCTTGATCTCCTTTTATGTACTTTAAGCATCTACTATCAAGAAGCTACCCGTCGTTGAGTGAAGAGAATTTTCATTATTCTTACAAAACACATCCATGTAGCTTTCTTTGTTATCCAATTCTTTTGGGTCCATTTTGGTTAGCACATTTGGAAAAGATTCCCAAATAAACAAATTGCACAAGTTGAATGATATACTTCAATTTTTTTGAACATTAATTCATATAATTTAGCATGTAAGTACATTTGTTTTCAAAATCTTTTGTCAATTCAAATATTACAATAAGCTTATAGTTTTGTACAATAATGAACCAATATGAAATGGATATGAACGGAGTGAAGAGCACAATTTCATACATGGATGATCATTAAAACACCATATGCATTATTTAAGTTCAAATTCAAGAATGGACAAAATTAACAAGATATCTTTCTAAATGGACAAAATTAAATAATGCGCGCAGACTTTTTCAAAATCCTCTAAGGATTCAACATAGGAGGAAGATTCATTTCTTTCCATTTTTAATTTCTCATTTTTTTTCTTTGAGTATTTGGCAGCTCAGTGTAAATTAATGTTCTTTTTGAGAGCTACATTTTTCAAGGCAATTTTCTCTAATTCTAAGTGTAACTTTTCAATTGCAATTTCAAGAACCAATTACCAAAAACATGCAGTAAAAATAAAATTGCATATTTTAATAAATATTTGTACTAAGTCAATTAATAAGATAAAACAAGAACCCCATAATAAATACATATGTCAGACATAGCATCATCATCTAAATTCTTCTTTCGGAACTTGTAGTTCTTCTATGGTCTTTTGGGTAGAAGAAGTTCATCTATAAAACTATCCATACTTACTCTTAACATTTCAATGTCGTTTAAGATAAACCTAGAGCCGAGACTTTGATACCACTCGTTGCCCAGCTGTTTGCGGTATTTCGGCATTCAACGGCCCCGAGGTTGATGTGCATGTGTGCATGCTAGAGTCCTCGTGTATCACCCGGACTCAGGGTGCTAAGTTGGTAAACATCAGGTACCCTTGGTTCAGTCGTCACCGTGGTCGGCATCGCCCTGAGTGTAGCAAAGGGACTGATCGCACCGCCTTGTTGGTTATTTTTGGACAGTTGGATTGGAAAGTGTGGGAACGAAGGTTGTCACCTGGATCAGACATGGATATATTTTAATTGTTTATTATGGTTCTTTTATGTCATGGCATGTCTTCTATCGCACCAAAGAAAATAATTTGATTTAAGTGCAACTCAAAAAGATTAAACAAATTGAAAGGTCAGCGAGAGCCCAACCCAATGGATAGAACACCCTCAACTCAAAACCCTAACTTAACCATGTTAGTCATTTATTGATCAAATTATCTGGGTTAGAATTGATTTTGGCGAGTTTATACTTGGGTTAGACTCGGGTTAAAGTTGGTATGGGGTTTGATTACCTAATACTAATACTATTATTATCAAAAAAAAAAATGCAAGCTAGGGTTGGGCGGGACTTGAATCAAGTTCAGTTGAAAATTTCAACTCCAGCCCAATCCAAACAACAGCATAAAAGTTGAACAAGCCTGTCTAAAATGAGGTTGGGTTTGGGTTGGTCCGTCCAAATTACACCCCATAAAATTTCTTTAAGAACCTTGAAATAGTCGTGCCCCGTGAAATTTTTTTGTGGTCCGGGGCTACATGATCTCAGCTAGGGACAGAGCCAGAAATTATGTTCAAGGGGGGCACAATACAATAAAAAAATTTGAGGGGTAATTTTAAAATTTTAAAGAATTATATACAAAATTGTAATTTTTTAAAAGTTGAGGGGGCAATTTTAAAATTTTAAAGAAATATACATACAAATATGCATTTTATAAAAGGTTAAGGGAGAGCAATTTCAAAATTCTAAAGAAATAAACACACAAAAATACAATTTATTAAAGTTGAGGGGGGCAATTTTAAAATTTTAAAAAATTATACATACAAAAGTGTAATTTTTTAAAAGTTGAGGGTGGCACATGCCCCCAAGCCTTAATTGGCTCCGTCTCAAATCTCAATTAATCAAAACATGCCATATTACCAAATGTGTAAACTGTATTTCACTTTTTAGTGCATGACATGACATGTTTTGATTAGCCATGAACATGTAATCCATTGACCACCTCAATAATTTCTTGCCATGCCCATAACATGCATTATTTATTCAATAAAAACAGCATGGCAAAGACATGTGATTAACAATAAGCAACTCATTTGAAAACAAGTGATGATCTTAAATTGTCCTATACATGTTCACAATGATCTCTTTTTTTCATTTTTTTTTTTTTTCCTAATTGGTACTCACTACTCAAACACACATACCTTTACTGAGGTTTGAACTCCTAACCTTCTTTTAAAACGTAAGGACCCGATACTTCTAGACCACAAGTTCGTTGGTCACAATGATCTCATTTGACTCTAAGTACTAATTAGGAACCATGTACAGTTCATGCAGTCCTGATCCATAAGAAATTTCTAGTAACAGTACCTTCCTCATAGCAAAGTACTAAACTGATATAGTTGAATATGATATCATTCAGCAGAAAATGAAAGCATGTTACAAAGACTAATGGAGCTTTAAGACAAGTCTGAAAATGAAAGCATATTACAAAGACTAATGGAGCTTAAAGACAAGTCACTACCTACATTTCAAACCAACCTTTTGTACATCAAGACTGATTTAGCTTTCAATCTAGAACTAAAAATCAACATAGATACAATTGTAGAAACACTGCATGCAAAAAATTAATGAAAAAGTGGTCCAACAATTCAAAAAACGAATGGTCATTGGCACACATTAATTATTTCAAAACGTCACCACCATGTGATTTATTAAAAAGTGAGAATAACTTCCACCAATAAAAGTAAATTCTAAAATTAAATCAAACAAAAGAAAGAGCACAAATTAAGTAGAGTACATTAATACAGAATCTCTCCAGAACCATATCACCACCACTCTAATTATTGTTGCAAATAGTAGCTGGGCATAATTATCCCCAGCCAACAACCACCCACCTAATGCTCCTCTTGTCAAAGTCAAGGACCCATGTAAAAGAACAATTTGTTGGAACTTGGATAAGCATCATCCGCATGGAACTTGGATGAGCATCAAAACCATCACTTACAGAAATATGTGATTCTAATTTCTATCCCATCCCATGAGACCATGACTTGTTTTGCTTACACAAGTAAAATCTACTCTTAATTCAAATACTAATAATGATTCTCAATCCGAAAATCTAACCGAAAGTTTTTTAGTGGATAAAATTTATCTATTTAGTTAGAGTTTTGAGTCTAAATAGTACGATTATTTATCATCTTGATCAAGTCAACTCAATAATCCAACACCAATCAATCAAAGAAATATCGTAGCACATACAGTAAATGTAATACCCATCTCACACGCATCCGTCAATTACGAAAAAAAAATCCCCTACACGGCCCAAAGGGAAAATGTGACATACCACATGACTGTCCTAGCTAGCCAGTGTATTTTTTTATTATATACCCCACTATGGTACAATAAACAAATACAGTTATTACCAATCCAACATTATCACTCATCATACACCAACACAATCAATAGCCCTGCAAAGCACTGACATTAAAAAATTCTTAAATAAAAATTTTCATCATAACATAAATTTATAATCTTCATTAATCAAGACATGCAAAAGGTTTCCTCCCACACATCTTAGTACTAAAAACTGACAAAATGTGACTCATACAAGAGCCCATTAGTAGCAAGAACTTAACATGAAAATAACTTCCCAGAATAATTCCCCCTATAAGAAAAAAAAAAAGAACAGATATTTTCTTCTCATTACACCCAAACAGAATCAGAATTCAGGACCCCCCAAGCAATATATATATAGAGAGAGAGTATTTTATATAGAGAGAGAGACTTGTACTTAGATATGGCATCCAAAGCAATTACAGGTCTTGGGAGTAAAAGAACAGAAGCCAAAAGGCCTGTTTGGTATGTTGCAAGTGATAGCATAGCAACAAGGAGAAGGCAAGCAGTACCCTTTTGCCCCACCACAGCAAGTGCACAATGCACAAACCTGGAAGTTCCCAAGCCGCCGCCTCGTCTCATTCAACTCCACCACCATCTCCGCCTCCACCATTGGCACCATCTCCGCCACCGCTCCGTTCTCCACCGCCGCCGCATTTGCCTCCATAACAAAAAAAATCAACATAGAAAAAGATTCAATTCCAGAGAAAGCCCCATAACATCTCTAATTCTATATGACATCTCTAATTCCAATCCACCTTTCACTGCATCCACACCATGCTTTAAAGCAACAAGAACTTCTTAGTGGAGTGGATGCAGAACACTTTGGAGTGGAAACAGAGCCAACCAAGAGACACCATAATCAAATTGACATCAAGAAGGGTAATTGCTAGGATCCATGAAATCAACATAAGGGTTTCTAGAGAGAGAAAGTGAGATACTCACATGGGTAAATCTTACTTCATTGATACTGAAGAACACCAGAAGGAAGAGAGAGAAGAGAAGCCTACAAGAAAACATCATTCTTTTTTTGTAGAAGGGCTCGGTGCTTGAAATGGGTCTTGATGCTTAGAGGATTTGGTATGAAATCTCCTTATATAAAACAAGATTGATTGGTTGGGGTATTGGGGTTGAGGGTTTAATGGTGTTGATTGAATTTGTCAATGAAAGGTGTTAAATGGAGGGTTTTGTTTAATGAGTCTTGTGGGAGTTCCTGAAATTGTTTTTCTACAAAGGTTGGGGACTTTGCAGACTAGCAAAGGCAAGTGCACTCCCAGTGGTGTGTGAATGTAATTATGTGAAGCAACACAATGGCCTTTTGGAAGGAGCTTGGCATCATGAAGAGAGTGCGGGTGAAGTGGGGTACCCTTCACAGCTGTTTGTAACCAATCAGGGGAGAGAGACCAAAATATTGATGTAAGTGCACAAAAGACAATAACAAGTTTGGTGGGTAGGGTTGCAACTCGGGGGTTGGGTGGGTAGAAAGTCCAAGTATGAATGTTGAACCCTAATACAACCTTCAATTCGAGTCCAACCAATTCTTTTTTAAATTTTTAAACTAGGATTAGGAACTTGTGTTTGAGATTTTAGATTAAAAAGTCGGATTAATTTGAATTATTCATATGACTAATCTCCACACTAAAAATTTAGTGTCGTGTTAAGTTAGTTTCAGATCAAATTACTCTTAAACACAAAAAGTTTTATAAACTTATTGCAAATTTTTTATAAATTACAAATTAATTCTTGAAAATTAATTCTCCAAAAAGTTAACACACAATAAATTAATATTTAAACATAAGAAGTTAAAAAGAAGTAGGTGATTATAATTAGAATATTATATATAATGTATTTAAAATAATATATATGTATATAAATAATATTAGAATTCGATTTTGGATTGGGCTCAAGTTGTTAGCACCTCATCCAATCACAGCCCTAATTAAGTTTGAATTGAGATTTTTCAACTCAAACACAACCCTAATTGTAAAAAGGGTAAAGTGCACTAAACCCTCCTAAACTATGACCCGATTGCAAGAAACCCCCCTGAAGTAAGTAAAGCCCCCCTAAAGTGTCATTTTGTTGCAACCGTTAATAGAAAAAGCAAATTACCTTTTAGTCCTTAAGTTGAAGGACAACGTTTTTAAGGTCATTCTAATTTCAACTGTTGACGTGGCAAATAAAATCTTACATCCAATAAAAAAAAGTGATAGCACATCAACCTTTTCTCACCTTTTTTTTAATCCATTATTGTTCTTTTTGTTATATATATATGTTGGTGTGGGGTCCACTTGCAATAAGTATATATGTTATCATTTTGTGTATCAGTGAAGTATATACTAGAAGCTTTGTGTGGCAGTGCAGCTTATACAAGAAGCTGTTTGATGCCCACGACAGTCACGCCTATAAATAGGCTTGCAATGTATACAATTGAGGTGTGGTGAAAATACAAAGCAGTTCTTTCTCTCACTCTCTCTCGTTCTCTCTTTGTGTTCTCTTTCTGTATCACTCTCTCTTTATCTGTGTGTGTGAAATTTTATATAACAACTATTACTATATACACACACATATTCACAACACGTTATCAGCACGAGACTCTGTTAACTGAGAAGAAAATTCTATTTTTCTTTCTCACTTCAAAGGGTAAGAAAAATAATTATTTATATTAAACTGTTATTATTCAAGTCTCACATATAATTAACATTGTTGAGCCTGCAGTCTCGCAATTATTTATTTATTTATTTATGTTAGAGTATTTTTGTCTATTCCTTATAGAACATTAAATTGCTGAGCCCAAAGTCTCACAAATACTAAATTATTTACTTTGCAAACTCGCAGTTTTGCATATATTAATCTACTGTTTGTGAGCCTGAAGTTTCACAAATACTCTTTGCGAACCCGAAGTTCCGCAAAATTCGTTGGCCTGAAGTTTCACAAATATTTGGTACTCTTTGCGAACCCGAAGTTCCGCAAAATTTGTTGACCTGAAGTCCAAATGAATCTGAAATTCTTTGACCTGAAGTCATTTACACTGAGTACCCTTACAAACGTGGAGTTTTGCAAAACATAGAAATATAAATTATATGTGCCTTTTAGTGTAAACATATTTTGTCCTTTTGTTATTGTTTTGTTTGCACATGATTAACTTTTGACATTATATATTTACTAACAAATCACATTATAGTGACTGCAGTATTTTTATAATCTCAAATTGATTATTCTTTTTGTGAAATAATTCTAATTATGTCATTTTATCATTTATAGTTCACAATGTCAAATCTTACCAAACTTGAATTTGTGGCAGTTGACATCTCGGGCAAAAACTACTTGTCATGAACCCTTGATGCCGAGATTCACTTGGAGGCCATGAATCTCGGAGAAACAATTAAGGAAAACAATAATGCGTCCCTGCAGGACGGCGCAAAATCCATGATCTTTCTTCGCCATCACCTCCATGAGGAACTAAAAATAGAGTACCTCACGGTTAAGGATCCACTTACACTGTGGAAAAATCTGAAAGAACGATATGAGTATCAGAAAACTATGATCCTTCCGAAAGCTCGCTATAACTGGATCCACCTGCGATTGCAGGATTTTAAAAGTGTAAGTGAGTACAATTCAGCCTTGTTTAAAATCAGCTCACAATTGAAATTATGTGGAGAAAAAATTACTAATGATGATATGTTGGAAAAAACATACTCCACATTTCATGCCTCAAATGTGCTCCTGCAGCAACAATATAGAAAGCGCAGATTTACCAAATATTCTGAGCTGATTTCTTGTTTGTTGGTGGCTGAACAGAATAATGAGCTTTTGATGCAAACCACCAGTCCCGTCCCACTGGATCTGTACCATTCCCAGAAGCGAATGTGTCATCATTTCACGGTCATGGACGTAGACGTGGACGCGGACGTCGTGGTAGTTGCAATAAAAATAATTATAATAATCATGGTGGTCATAATTCCTCATTGGTTCCCAGAAGGAACTCCACACCGTCCCACCAGAAGTGGAATTTAGATGCGACCAAGCAGGTAAAAGAAAAAACTTTGCAGAACAAAGCTCCTGAGATATATGATGACAAGCCTTGCTATAGATGTGGAATGAAAGGTCATTGGTCGCGTATCTGTCGTACGCCTAAACATCTAGTTGATCTTTACCGTGCCTCAATAAATGATAAGGGAAAAGGAAAAGAAATTGAAATGAATTTTGTGGATGACGACTTAACAACTGATATTACTCACTTTGATGTTTCTGACTTCTTTGCTGATACTAGTGGTAGTAGTGATCATTTGATTGGTGATGGAAATGTCCATACCAATTAACGTGTACTTCTCTAGCATGTTATCCCTTGTGTGTTTTAGCTTATCTGTATCAAAATGTCTCTATCTAGGTTGTACTAGTATGTTTTTTATTTTGGCTATCTTGCATGTAAATCTAGTTTGTATTTCAAGTTTGAAGTAATGAAATATATATTTTGTGTGTATGAAGAAACATGGATCTGACTAAGACATTGACTGTACCCAAGATAAATGGTGAAGATATATGTCTGGCAGACAGTGTAACAGCACACACTATACTCCAAGATAGAAAATATTTTTCAAGTATAACATTAGTTGAAACTCATGTCAATACAATATCAGGTCTAGCAGACCTAATTGAAGGCTCCGGAAGAGCTATCATTGTGTTACCATGTGGAACATAATTGAATATTAATGATACTCTATTCTACAAAATCCAAAAGAAATTTATTAAGCTTTAAAGATATACGTCTCAACGGTTATCATATTGAGACTATAAATGAAGGGGGCATTGAATATCTCTGTCTTACATGCCAGAAACATGTATTAGAAAAACTCTCTGCTTTATCTTCTGGGTTATATTATACAAATATAAAAGTAATTGAGTTACATGCCCGCACCAGAAGTGCTCCGACCCAAATATTTTTATACTTTGGCATAATCGCCTTGGTCATCCTGGGTCAACAATGATGCGCCGAATCATTGAAAATTTACTTGGTCATCCACTAAAGAACCAGAAGATTCTTTTAGCAAATGATTATCCTTGTACTGCTTGTTCACAGGGTAAATTAATAGTCAGACCATCACCTTCCAAGGTCGTTGTTGAATACCCACCATTTTTACAACGAATTCAAGGGGATATATGTGGACCAATTCATCCAGCGTGTGGACCATTTCGGTATTTTATGGTCTTAATTGATGCATCAACACGGTGGTCACACGTAAGTTTACTTTTTACTCGTAATATTGCATTTGCTCGACTCCTTACTCAAATAATCCGATTACGAGCACAATTTCTGGATTATCCAATCAAGACTATTCGTCTTGATAATGCCGGAGAATTCACATCTCAATCATTTGATGACTATTGCATGTCAATTGGCATCCTTATTGAACATCCTGTTGCACACACTCATACCCAAAATGGTCTTGCAGAATCTTTTATCAAACGTCTTCAGTTCATAGCTAGACCATTACTCATGAGAACTAAACTACCTGTTTCTGCTTGGGGACATGCGATATTACATGCAGCATCACTTATTCACATTAGACCAACTGCATATTATAGTTTTTCACCACTATAACTTGTGATGGGTCAACAACCAAGTATCTCTCACTTACGAGTTTTTGGTTGCGCTATATATGTTCCCATTGCACCCCCACAACGCACCAAAATGGGTCATTAACGACGACTTGGTATTTATGTAGGTTTTGATTCTCCATCTATTATTAGATATCTTGAACCTATGGCAGGTGATGTATTTAAGGCATGGTTTGCTGACTGTCATTTCAATGAGACTGTTTTCCCTCCATTAGGGGGAGAAAAGAAAAAGCCAGAAGAGCATCAATTTATTAATTGGAATGTCTCGACTTTATCTCATTTCGATTCTCGCACAAACCAATGTGAACTAGAAGTTCAAAAGATCATTCATTTGCAAAGTATTGCAAATCAATTACCCGATACATTCACTGACACAAAGAAAGTGATGAAATCACATATACCAACTGTAAACATTCCAGCAAGAATTGATGTCCCTGTAGGACAATCTGTCAGTGTTGTTGCAAATGCATCTAAGACACGCCAGAAGCATGGTAGACCAGTCGGTGCAAAAGACACTGTTCCCTGGAAGAGGAAAGTACAAAAGAAATCAAATAAAGAAATTGGCGCTCTTGGAGAGGTCACACTTGCAAAAGGAATTGGCGCTCCTGAAGAGGTCACACTTGCAAAAGGAACAACAAAAATAATTGATCAATCTAAATTTTATAAGCAAGTAGCCCCAGAAGATATGCATGCCCCGGAAGTGGCACAAGCCCCGGAAGTGGCACAAGCCCCGAAAGTGGCACAAGCCCCTGAAGAGGCACTGGTACCTGAAAATAATGAGATCTCAATAAACTATAAAGAATTGTGGGATAGAAATACAATTATTATTAACGATATATTCTCCTTTGTAGTTGCTCTTGATATTGTAGGTGCTAATGAAGATCCTGAACCTCAAAACATTGAAGAGTGTCGATGTAGAAATGATTGGCCAAAATAGAAAGAAGCCATACAGGCAGAGCTAAATTCATTGGCAAAACGTGAAGTATTTGGACCTGTAGTCCAGACACCTGAAGATGTCATGCCTGTAGGGTACAAATGGGTATTTGTAAGGAAATATAATGAGAAAAATGAAATTGTAAGATACAAAGCCCGACTTGTAGCCCAAGGTTTCTCGCAAAGACCTGGTATTGATTATGAAGAGACATACTCTCCTATAATGGATGCAATCACATTTCACTTCTTGATCAGTTTGACAGTCTCAGAAGGACTGGATATGCATCTAATGGACGTGGTTACAGCTTATTTATATGGATCACTAGATAGTGATATATATATGAAAATCCCTGAAGGATTTAAAATGCCTGAAGCAAATAGCTTGAAACCACGTACCATGTATTCTATTAAGTTACAACGATCCTTGTACGGATTGAAACAATCCGGACGCATGTGGTACAATCGACTCAGCGAGTATTTACTCAAAGAAGAATATGTGAATAATCAAGTTTGTCCATGCATTTTCATCAAGAAATCAAAATCTGGATTTGCCGTTATAGCTGCATATGTTGATGATCTAAAACTTGTGGGAACTCCTGAAGAGCTCACCACGACTGCTAATTATTTAAAGAAAGAATTCGAAATGAAAGATATTGGTAGAACAAAATTTTGTCTCGGCCTGCAGATCGAACATTTACCAAGTAGAATTCTTATCTATCAGTCAACATACACCGAAAAAGTCCTGAAGCGCTTTTATATGGATAAAGCTCACCCCTTGAGTTCTCCAATGATTGTCCGATCACTCGATGTGAAGAAAGATCCTTTTCGTCCTCTGGAAGAAGGCGAAGAAGTTCTTGGTCCTGAAGTACCATATCTTAGTGCAATCGGTGTTTTAATGTACCTTACAAATTGTACCAGACCTGATATTGCATTTGCAGTCAACTTACTAGCACGGTATAGTTCTGCACCAACTCGAAGACATTGGAATGGGGTCAAACACATTATACCTTACCTTCGGGGAACGACTGATATGTGATTGTTTTATTCAAGACAATTAAAGCCCCAGTTGATCGGATATGCAGATGCAGGTTATCTTTCTGACCCTCACACAGCCCGATCATAAACAGGGTACTTGTTTACTTGTGGTGGTACTGCTATATCATGGCGATCTATGAAACAGACCATGACTGCAACTTCCTCAAATCACTCTGATATACTCGCAATTCATGAAGCAGGTCGAGAGTGTGTTTGGTTGAGATTTGTTATACAACATATTCAAGAATCATGTGGACTCTCCTCAATCAAAGATAGTCCAACAATATTATATGAAGATAATACAACATGTATTGCACAGGTAAGAGGAGGATACATAAAAAGTGACAGAACCAAGCACATTTCACCAAAATTCTTTTCCACACACGAGCTCCAGAAGAGCCGTGATATCGATGTTCGGCAGATACGCTCTAGTGATAATCTAGCAAATTTATTCACCAAAGCGGTTCCAACTACAACATTCAAGAAGTTAGTGGACAACATTAGAATGCGTCAACTAAAGGATCTTCAGGGTTGAACTAATGAGGGGGAGCAATTGATTAAAGAGGTATTAGCATACTGTACTCTTTTTCCTTCGTCCAGGTTTTATCCCACTGGGTTTTCCTCGCAAGGTTTTAATGAAGCAGTTTTAATCTATGCAATACTATACACAAGAATACTGTACTCTTTTTCCTTCACTAGAGTTTTGTCACACTGGGTTTTCCTTAGTAAGGTTTTAACGAGGCATATTCTTAGTGTAATTCAGTGGACCCCAAGGGGGAGTGTTATATATATATGTTGGTGTGGGGTCCACTTGCAATAAGTATATATGTTATCATTTTGTGTATCAATGAAGCATATACTAGAAGCTTTGTGTGGCAGTGCAGCTTATACAAGAAGCTGCTTGATGCCCACGACAGTCACACCTATAAATAGGCTTGCAATGTATACAATTGAGGTGTGGTGAAAATACAAAGCAGTTCTCTCTCTCACTCTCTCTCGTTCTCTCTTTGTGTTCTCTTTCTGTATCACTCTCTCTTTATCTGTGTGTGTGAAATTTTATATAACAACTATTACTATATACACACACATATTCACAACACTTTTTTCTTTAGTGCTACTTCCCTTTTTCTTTTTCCAAGCCCAAGAGAGAATCTCACGCGGGCACTGAGGAAGAAGACAAAGATGGAGCAACGCGGCAAGATAGAGAGAGTTGCGACAGTGAGTCTTTAAATGGCAAAGATCGAGTTGCCGCCGGATTTTGGTCGAAAAAGTCAGGAAATGAAGACGACAAGATGTCTGCATGTTTTGAACGGCGGCGAGCACAGACTATTTGACGGCACACTGATGCAACAAAACTGAAACACACCGGCGACAAACTAAAACGCACCAACGGGAAGAAAACAACAGATCCAAAAAAAAAAAAAAATTGTAAAAAAATTAAAGACAACATATCCACCAATTTAATTGATTGAAAAAAAAAAAAAAAAAAGTTGAGGTTTTTCATTTCTTCAATTTATGGTTTTGGGTAGTTAATTTAATGCCCAAGGAGAAGAATTTGATGGCATCTGGAAATAGGAAAATGGGTGAAATGTTGCTGTTGGGTTTGAGTTTGAATTTGTATTTGCATTTGTAGGGGTAGAGAGAAAGGAGAGCGGAGAGATCGCCAATTTGTGGTGTTGGATTTTGGCGCCCGTATTTTTTTTTTTTTTTTTTTTTGTGGGTTTTGATTGTGGGAAATGGGTCTTGTGGTGGTTGGCGAGGTGGGGATTGTGGCGGTAGTTCGGGGTTAGGATGATGGTGGTGGTTGGTGACCGTTGGTGGTTGTTCAGAGAAAAAGGCCAAAAATAGGTTAAGGGCTTTGCAGAGTGAGGGAGGGTGCCGCTGGAGAAGGTGGCGGAAAGGACGATGGGGTCTCCTCTTGGATCCGGCAACTGCAGACCATTATGGGCCACTTCATCGGAAGTGAAGCACCGGCGACATGTCCTTTAACTCCGACACCACCGACTCCTTCTTCGGGACCAAAGTTTCTTGAAGACCGACATGAATACAATAGCTCCTTCACACCGCTGTTGCCATGGGCAAAGATGGACGAGAGAGATAGTTGAGAGGGAATGAAGAGGAAGATATGGAGGGATTACGCGTCCAGCCACATCAGATTCCACGTAGTCGGTGAACACTGGTCATCAAAAACAACATTATATATATATATATATATATATATGTATATCATACATATTTTATTCCTTCACTGTTGTAGGGTCAATTTTGTCTTATTAAAATTGTGAACCCCTCACGTGACATGCGTACCTTCATTTCTGTCAAATTTCTAATGGCAGACTTAACATTTGCAATAAGTAAAATAGTTTAAAGGGTTAAATGTCTTTGGAATAGTTTGGGGGGGGGGGGGGGGGGGTGTTTATTGAGAAAGAAAAGAAAGTTTTGTTTGGGGGGGGGGGGGGGGTATTAGTGCACTTTACCCTTATAAAAATGGTTACCCGAGCCTCCGAGCCTCTGAAAAATCGGGTCAAGCTCGAGTATTAGTTGGGCTCAGTTACTAATACCTTAACTAAGCCCAGCTTCAATTAAGTTCGGGTTGAGATTTTTCAACCCAAACCCAACTATAATTGTAAATATGGTTGCCCAGTGAAAATTGGTCTAGGTTTGGTTGGCTTGCCCAAGTTATACTCCTATGTGCTATTTGTGGGAACAAATTATATATATATATATATATTAGATTATGTTTGGTTCCCTTTTTTGTAATAGTTATTTGTTTTATAAAAAAAAAAAAATGTTACAAAAACTTGATATGTTTGATTTAGAAAAAAAGAATTATTTTTTGAAGAATTATCTTTATAGTTATCTACAACTAATTTTTTAAGTTCTTGAGAATAATTTTTATATATTTGAACTAAACAAGTTGTAAATTTTTTACAATTATTTTTTAAAAAATCAGTTAAAAAAATAATTATTTTCATATAACTATCTTTTATTATTCTTTTCAAAATAATTTTGTGTTCTATGAATTTTTTAGAATTAATCTCTAAAAATTAAACTAAACATGCCTTTAAGTGCTTGGTCCTCCTCCTTTCAAATAGAACCATAAGATGACACATGATATCACTATACTGTATACATGGAGGATAAGAGAAAAGTTAGTGAAAAATGTGTAGTTAAAAACCCCACAAAGGAGTAGAGCACTTTCAGTATCCTCAAACAATGGATATTATACTAAAAGTAGCTCTACTCCTTAACCTCACACACTTACCCGAGACTTAACCTTCAACCTTCAAGGTCGGGAGATAGAGGAATGTTTGGTTCGCGGGTTTATGCTAATCGAACCTAGAATTGACTTTGATTGGATGATGATATAGCTTGCACATATTCTCAAAGGAGGATTTCCATTAAAGCCTTTCCTTTCAATACGTACAATTATAATAAACTGACGCACGGTTGAGGACGGAGACAGACATTCTGAAATCTAGGTTTTACACACCAGAATCTATTGGAGCTAATTAGGTGTTTTCCTCTGCACAGCGTCTTCAACCCTTCAACGTCATCAGAATGAACACGAACGAGTTCGCAATGGTAAGTAATTTCGCTTCTTCTTTCTAAAACTCTATCTGTAGAAGCAATTGTACTTGGTATCTCAAATTTGGGGCTTTGCTATGGTCTCCAACTTACACTATTGCATTATACTTGTATGAATATTGGTATCGCTGTGTGTAATTTGAACATGATCCAGTTCGTAATAGTAAGTAATTTTGAACTCTCTCTCCGCAACTCTTATCGATATAGAAGGGATTTTATTTGGTATCTCAAATTTAGGGTTTTATTATGGTCTCTAACTTACACTACTGCATTATACTTGTATGGTGTAATTTGAACATGACCTGGTTCGCAATGGTAAGTAATTTCGTACTTCCGTTCTAAAACCCTTGTCTTTAGAAGCAGTTGTATTTGGTACCTCAAAATTGGGGCTTTCTTATGGTCTCTAACTTACACTACTGTAATTTGATTGAATCTCCAAAACACTTGAGCTGATTGACAATGCTGAAATTACGTCTCTTGTGGGCAGTATCAATGAAATGGTTGCTATATGAATTAAGATTCTCAATTCTCAATATTTTTTTCATTAAAATCTCCATAATTAGTTTGAATATTACAACATACATGAATATGAATGTTTGTCCTCGTTTATAAAAGCTAAAAAAGGTGCATCAAAATTTAAAATAGAAGGAAAATGACTAGTTAGCGGGTAAAATGCTCTGCTTACAAGGGAATATGTTTTATAGTTTGTTTTAGTGGCGGAGCCAGAAATTTTTTCCAGAGGGGGCAACCATTAACACTAATATGATAAGAAATTTTGAACGAAAATAATAAATACCAAATGAGGGTTTCTTCTGAAATTTGATTTTTTTTTTTTTTTTTTTTTTTTTTTTTTTTTTTTTTTTTAAATTTTAAATTATGTAGGGCCAATGAATTAGAAATTGAGGGTTCTTTTTGAATTTTGGAAGTTTTTATTTTTTTTTATTTTTTTTTATTGTCTTTTGTGAATTTTGTAGTAGCTCAGTGGGGGCACATTTATCACAGAAAAGTCCAGTGGGGGCAATTGTCCCTACTATTTTGGATTAGGAATGCAATGTTACTTAATATAAATGAATAATTGAAATACTAAGGACAAAGAGAAAGGAAGAAAAGAGTATCATGATATGATTGGATCCTCCTCCTTACAGCTGATTGGATAATATCATACCATTTGGTAGTAGTGGGACCCACTACGAAGTAGATTATTTTTCTTTTATCTTTTTATTTATTTTTTCACTAAAACAAAACATCAGCGGTAAGGAGTAGTAGGCAAATATTACTCTTCAATTTTTTATTTGGGAATTGCACATCTTCTTCCTTCTCATTATATTCATCTAATTTTATAAACTCCCTCCCTCTTTCTTTATATATATGTTTATATATCTCCTTCTCCGGCTTTAATTATATAAAGTTACAGTATCCAGCTGGTGTTTGCCTTACGTGGTATCTGCCAGTCCAAGGAAATAGAATAGTCAATTGTGTCATACATATTAATTATTGTAAATATAAATTTTCATATCTTGCTTTGCATTCGTTCCAACATATTCCTTTTAAGTCAGTAAACATATTTTTCAATAACTTGCCTCATGTCTCTTTTACTTTTAGCTTGAACCACTCCCCACACCAACCCACCAAATATCCAATTCTTTAATTCTTTGAATTTTTATATTGCTTACTAATCGTATAAATATTCTCATTTCTGCTACCTCATTGAAGGAATTGTGAAATATTTCGTACCACAAAAGCATAGTTATAAAGGCTCAAGGTGCACTAAGGCGCCAAGGTTTCCTGGGAGCCTAAGTGCAAAGCGCAACATAAGGAGTGATGTTGATTAAAGTAAGGTGAATCTGTAATAGAAATAAATATTAAATATTAATATAGAAACAAATGTACATAAATCCTTTTAATAGGCATATGCGGTAACTAAATCAAATACCATTATAATTGTGCAACAACAAAAAACAATGATTATGTAATTTAAGTATTTGCTATATTATGGTACAAATCAAGAATTAAGCACGAGGCACATTAATGTAATTAGTTAAATAACTTATGAATTCAGTCAAATAAGTAGTTAAATAACGTATGAATTCAGTCAAATATTTATTAGTTTAAACTATGTGATCCATGGAATATGACCACAATTGGCTGTAGAATATGTAAATTCAAATTCTTATAGAAGTACAAAGAAAATGATATGAATGAATATAATGAGTGATTAAAAAATAAGAGGCATGCTTTTTTTGAACCTGGAGCCTAGCTGAAAAGCACATCGTGAGAACTTTACGTGAGCCTGGTTTTTGGAGCCTAGGCGTGCCTTTAATAACTATGTAAAAAAGTATTGCCAGCCTCCCCTTTTCTTTTAAAAATTGTCATGCACACAAAAACCACTTTTAACTAGCTATTAATTGTCTCTCATCATCATTTTTTCCTTTATCCCATATGAATGGGGTTGGCTACATTGCATCTCTTTTTCCATTCTTTTGATATTGTCCTAAGAAGCACGGACATTTCTACGAAGGTGTCATGTTTGTGTTGAACACCGACACTTCATGGCTAAGTCCATCATTTAGAAATAACTTCTATTATTTTGGACACTTGGTCGACATGTTCCGGACTCTTGATCAACTCATCGTATGCTCTTCGTCTTATGTAAGACGAACACATGACAGTCCAAAAAACATGGTTAAGAACATACATCAAAAGTCTCCAACCTTATTTTCTTTAAAAATTTGTCATTAAACATGTCACACAGTATGTAATGAACAAGAACATAACTATAATGACAAGATAGGAGAGTAATATCATATATAATATAATATATTCCTTTTGTTATTCAAATAACTTCTTCTCCTAACTCATGCAACTTTAGTAGAGAAATTATAAATTAATTAAAGTTCTAAAATTGTCTTGTTCAATAAATATATAAATGAAATTTTATATTTATATTAACCATGTCCCCGCTATGTCCATGTCCACGCTATGTCCATGTCCTACCTTTTTAGAATTTGACTTGTTGGCATATACTTGTCGTATCGTGTCCGTGCCTCATGTCTGTGTCCATGCTTCCTACCTTTTTAGAATTTGACTTGTTGGCATATACTTGTCGTATCATGTCCGTGCCTCATGTCTGTGTCCATACTTCTTAGATCTTATCCCTGTAAATTTTTTTTAATTTTTTTTTGGTGGTGTGCACACATATGGGGTGGGGTGGAATGGGATGATGAGAATATGTAGATCTTGCAGAGAAAAAGGTTTTAATTTATATTTCTATGAGGGCATGGAATTTTTTTTTTTTTTTTTTGATGAAAGGGTAAATCAATTTATTTTAAAGAAAAACTGAACAGTAACAAGAAGGCCCAACAGGATGTTAGGCCCAAATGTAATACAAATAGAAATCCAAGTCATTGAAGGCCCGCTCATCACATACTTAAAGCATTCTCACTCCACCAAACCCAGAGGAATGATGCTCTGATTGTAGAGCAGAGCACTGTTCATCTGAGAAGAAGAAGAGGATGGATCGTTCCTAATGAATGAATCCGGTAAATCCCAGTCTTGCACGACATGGTTTGCCACTGGCGATGCTTTCCACTTGGTAGTCGGCAGCTTCCCACTTCGTAGTTTCTTTTGTAGATATGGAAAATAAAATAGAGGAATCTAGAGCATGTTGAAATAGGGTTGTTTAGGATGCTAATCTTTGTTTAATTTTTGTATTGTGAATGTTGCCACAAACAGCATTTTTTTTATGGATAATTATGAGTCCAAACTCCATAAGGGGCAAGTCTTTAAGAAAAGGAGAAGAATAACTTTAAAGAGAAGCAATATGAAAGGAAATCTACATATTTTCCATTGAATGTCAAACTTGTTGCATTATGCTGGGAGAAAAGGAAAAGATTTTTTTTTTTTTTGAATGCATACAATCAACAGGTTCTCATTTTATCTTAACCGAAAATAGTAAAAGAGGAATTAATATTTCTTTATCTTACCTACCTTCTTCATACTAGTTGCATGTGCAGAAAAGGAGAATGCAAGTTTGTTTATCTTACATACCTTCGTCACACTAGCTGCATGTGCAAAAAAGGAGAATGCAAGTGTTCTCCTATAGAGATAAGGATTATTAATTGTTCGATTATTTTACTAATTTCAAATCAAACCACTGTGGTAAAGACATCTGTATCTCCTCCTCCTCCCTCACCCCACAGAGAAAAAATAAAGAAAAAGAAAGAAGTTGTTGATTTGGAAATTGTTTTACTTTTGCTTTGTTTTGGATATTTTAGTTTCTGATTGTTTTTCTTCTTTTATTCTTATTTTTATTTCTGTTGATTTTGTTTTTATCCTTCTTTTTTTTGTTGACAGTTTAACGTAGTTCTCAACGGATATTTGTACAGGCAATTTGTATTTTTTATCATGGTTATTTTATTTAGAAATGCAAAGGTTGCTTAAACTTCGCTGTTTCATTTCCTTGGCCTTCATTGTTTTGTCTTCTGAATTTACTTATTGATCTATAACACATGATGTCAGCCTCACCTAATTTTTTTGGTGACCGCTACAACTCGTGTCTAGTCAGATGCAATAAAACTTAACGCAATGTACTGGAAATTACTATATGATATTTGCATGAACATTACGGTGCCTCTCTAAAGGAGTTACATATTGCTTCTAATTTTCTAGGATTTCTTCTGATCTTTTTTCCTGGATATAATTTTACTTTGAACCCTTGGTTCTATATTTAACAATAATGTCACCAAACTGCAGGTTGAAGAATTGGCTTTTCTTATTAAGGACAATCTTCCTTCCAAGCACCTTGTTCTCTCTATGGAAGAAGCCTTAGTTAATTTCCTACAGGATCATACGAGGTCGAGGTACCTTTGCACTCATAGGATTTTGTGGATATTGCTGAAGATAATTTGTTTGCTACAAAAGCATTCTTTATGACAGAAAGCCATACAATTTTGCTTTTCACTATTTTGCATTAAAGCTACAGACAATAACATACCAAGGCTCAGGATCCAGTATTGAATTCTCAAACAAACTGTTGCCTTATGAAAATCACCTTCTTTTCCCCTCCCAGTTTTAACTTTTGAAGCTTCCAAGTAGAACCAATGTTGAATAGATCATTTGCCCCACCGAGCTGAGCTTGAACCTTAGTTGTAACTTTTGAGCTGAGTTAGTCTCCAACATCAGTGCGCCACCCTTAATCCACCAAGCTTAGCTCAAACTTCTTGGTACTTGTACTTTGGCTTGTTTACATCCTACAAACGACATGGCTCCTCTTATTTGTGTAGTTTTATATGAAATGATGAAAGTAGTCCTGTAGCTCCCTTATGTCAATAAATATGTTTCTTTTGAGTTACCTGATAGAGGGGACCGTGGGAAAAAAGAAATTCTGGGGTAGATGAGGATGGCAAAGCAGGTCTATCAGTCAGCTTTCTTGTGCTTATGAAAGAAAGAATCTCACCTTTCTGCAACCAATTTTCCTTTCTAGAAAAGACAGTCTTACCTTTGCATTATATCGCAGTTCATACCAACCACATTCTTCTTTAGTTTGTGGTGTTTTCTGATTCAAGCTTGCATGTTCCAGGGAGCTATATTACATGGGCTTGGTAGTGTGTTTTGGGTTTGGGTGCGTTTTAAGGTGAATTCACTTAACCTCCACAATTTAGAGTGCAGGGAAATTGCTATAGTGTCCAAGTGTCCAGAAATTGGGTGTGAGTTGCTTTAAATATATATATATATATATATATATATATATATATATATATATATATATATATATATATTTAGAGGAAGTGTGAAATTGAAATTTTTTTTCCCAAATAAGATGGGACTATTGAAATAAATTACAAGCTAATCCGTTGTCTACTTGGCGCAAACTACTAACCAGAGGAAATACTAATGGTTGTCTCCACCTCATGACCTCTAGCAACATGAAATTTCTAGGAAATCATCAAATCGTAAAGTAAAGAGTACACAGCCAGAGAACTGGTTTGTTTTACCTAGAGCTTTAAGTCTTTTCAAAGTTTTATGCTGATGACTCTCAAATAGGATCTCAAGGGTTCTGGAGCCACCCCTGTGCAATATTTGTTTGTTTATTTATTATTGTTGCTAATGAACTCCTGCCGGTTTAATTACCCTTGTGCACAAATTTATGGTCAAACGTTATTAATTTTCTATATGTCAACCCAAAGTGCATTCTTGCCTCTCTCAGTTTCATTTGCACACGATTCTTTGCTTATTTTTGTACATTTCTAGTTTTTTGCTTTAGTTAAAAGCTCAAAAAAGCGCTTTCCCTTCCAGCTTGTTACTTATTATTTATCTATTTTTAGCTTAGCATGTGGTCTATATAAAGTTATAGTATTTAAGAATTGTGATTTAGAGAGATGCACTTAAAAGACAACAATATTAAGATCACACCAAGGAAATGTAAACATAGCTATGAAACATAATCATTTGTTCAATAAATAAGCAAATAGTTGCTCATTACATTTCACCCATCCCTCTTATACGCAAAATAGTTTTACACCCATCTTGTTGCTACACACGGTATTGTTGCCTTTTTCATAATTATATATATATTTTTATTCAGTCTAAGAGCTAAATGGTTTTATGGCAAGATTAGTCCATAGAATGTCACTTGATTCTCCATTTTACATGCCAAATGCAACTCGTTTACATCTTTTGCAAAATGCACCACGGTTCTCAATTGCTTGACCCCAACATTTTGGTGAACCTCGAGCAATTATTACCAACAGAGTTCGTTATGAACTAGAGGAGCATTGGAACCCCACCAGTTATTACATTTACCATTCTGTTAACGATTTAATATGGTTGCCATGCGAACGTATTAGTTGTTGCAACCAATAGGTGCCCATTTTTCTAAGAAGCACGGACACGGATACGACATGACACGAACACGGCGACACGGCAAATCCAAAAAAATTAGGATACGGACTCGGACACGGATACAGCGAATAATATATATGTGTGTGTGTGTGTGTGTGTGTGTGTGTGATGTAGTACTTTAAAAATTACTGAGTGTTACTATTTTTCATCAATCTCACGATGAAAAAAAAAACACAAATTATAACTTATAACTAATAAACTATAAAAGAACAATGTTGCATAGTTATAAAACCAAATAAAAAACAAGACATTAGAATAATAACTAGTATCATTTAATCATCATTGCAACTTTACTCCAAATACAAAAGCATAGACAGATAGGACTATTAACATTCATGACTGTTTAACATTCAGGACTTTACTGTTAGCACTTAACATTCACAAAAACCTAAAGGCTAGTCCCCAAAAAAGATACAAAAACCAGTCAGTGTACTATCATCTATTCCCATCCATTATTTGACCTAGGACTTTTACCATTTACAATACCAAAAGGGTAGTACAAAACAAAAACAGAACATATCAGCATTAAAAATAAAAAATAAAAAATAAAAATTTCCAGACACGTGTGTTCGCGGAGTGTCCGAGCCGTGTCCAAAAAATAAAAAAAATAAAAAAAATTCCAGACACGTTTTTTGGTGTGTCCGACATGTGTCGGAGCGTGTCCGTGTCCGACACGGATTCTTCGCCCATTTTGGCGTGTCCGTGCTTCCTAGCCATTTTTTTTTATTAGTGCAATCAAGTAGTTTTGTGAACAACATTGGTTGAGGCACTAAAGGTCAATCATCACCCCCATCACATTTGTCAACCAAAAGAGAGCTTGTTCACAGACTAGACTACGAGGATGGATCTTTTTCTCTAGGTACATACAATAGAGAAACTTCTATATTAATGAATGACAAGGCTGAAACATTTACGAGAGCTACATGTATTATATCTGGTTGTGCTCACGATAATTACGACTCCTTACAAACAAATATAGTCTGATTTTGTTCCATTGTGCCATTATGTGGTGCTTTAGTGATTGAGATGTGTTGCAATGGACAGACTGGAATGATAATTGATTTTGCATGGCAATATCTCTTATGCACCAGGTGTCTCTTTCCAATTTATGGATATGAGGTTTTTCCTTTACTATGAGAATATCTGGGTCTTTGTTTCTGATAATTGGTTTCTTTCAAGCTTTGATGATGTAGTAGTGGTACCTATATGGAGAAATCATAGTTTCTGATGGAATTGGTTAATACCAAGCTTTGATGAGGTAGAAGTGGAGTGCTTATATGGAGAAATCATCAACAAAGAGGCATGTCCATCGTAATAAGACTAGATAATTAATTTATTGATATATATATAACTAAATTGGTCTTCCTGCAGTGGTCATATCTATTACGTATCGTGTCCTACATTGAGTCCTCGTTGATGATTTCCCTATATGGATGCACATTGCTAGATCTTATCAAAGCAAGGCAATAACAAATTCCGTTAGAAGCGGAGACCAAAGTCATGAAATAAAATCATCCTTTTCCGAAATTGGAAAGAGATGTTCGTTATTTAGAGATATCTGTTATGCAAAATTCCCAACTATCAATTGGTGGAACCTTATTTCACCAACCAATTTACATGTCATCTATGTTATTAGATGATTTCAGTATAGTAAAAGTTTTTTTTTTTTTTTTGATAAGTAAAAATAAATTAGAAAATGTTTAAAAGGGGAACGCGTCCCTAATACAAGAAGAAAAAAGATCTAAGGACCAATAGAATCCAAGAGATCAAAGAAATCATCAATCGAGGAGCATGCATTTCCTCTTACATAACAAAACAAAGAACAAAGAATATGAATTTTTAAATTAGCTAAAGACGATTCTTTTCCTTCAAAGGATTTATTATTTCTCTAACGTCACAAACACCACCAGACACAATGTGAAACAATCCTCCAATAATCACGAGCTTTTTCTTTAACAAGACACCTTCTCCAAGCCTTAATCAATTGTGAGGAGTGCTTAGGCATTACCCAAAAAACGCCAAACATGCAAAAAGTAAAGCTCCAACAATCATTTGCCACAGGACAATGCAAAAGAATATGATCCACGGATTCACTATCAGCTTTACATAAACAACACCAATTAACAATGATGTTGCCTCTCTTTCTCAAATTGTCCAATGTCAAAATCTTTCCCAATGGGCAGTCCAAACGAAGAATGCGATTCGAAGAGGAGCTTTAGAACGCCAAACAGACTTCCAAGGAAACTCGTGACTAACGAAATTGGACAAACACAAGAACATGGATCGGACACCATACCTACCATGAGCTAAAGGAACCCACAAAATATCATCACACCCTCTGCCAATATCCTTCTGCCTATACAACGTATCCAAAAAAACACAAGCTTTCTCCATTTCCCAATCTTGAAAGGGGCGCCTAAACCGCACATCCCACGTAACTCCATTGTTATCAAGTTGATAACAATCAATCACGTAGACATGCTTATTGGCTGCAATACTGTAAAGTCTATGAAAGGAGTGAGACAGCAACTGATCTCCGCACCAAAGGTCCTCCCAAAAACGGACATGTCTGCCATCACGAACTTTGAATCTAATGTGTGTGGAGAAAACATCCCAACCCTTCCGAATGAATTTCCACACACCAACACCTCCTGTGATAGTGACTGGAAGAGATGACCAGCCCCCACTCTCCTCACCGAAATGACACGAGACAACTCTTCTCCACTGACGATGGCGTTCCTTTCCAAATCTCCATAACCACTTTCCCAAGAGAGCACATTTAAAAGTGACGATTTTTCGAATGCCTAACCCGCCTAACCTCAACGGTTGGCAGACATGATCCCAATTAACAAGATGATACTTAAACTCCTCTCCCCTTCCACTCCAAAGAAAATCCCTCTGAATTTTTTCAATCCTTTCAGCAGCAGAGCATGGAATTTGAAACAAAGATAAAAAGTAG